TGCAGAACTGTAGCCGCTATCAGCTTTGTTGTGGAATGTCGGTGATCTCATCGTGCCGGGTTTCTCTGGGGCGGTTGGCATCCCTTGGTGGTCAAAGATTTCTCCATCGTCCGCAACTGATATGCCCTCGTCGCCTATTTCCTTGGAGAACGGATACGGGTCTTGACAGTGAGGGTATATATTTATAGGCGACTTCTCGAATGAGAAAGGACTGGCGGGAAAGTCATCGGGTTTTTTCGAGTCGGGCAGCGACGGGATTCTCAACAATGACGCGAGCGACTTCTTGAGGGGTTGCCCTTCTGACGCATCTTGTAGACACTCTTCCACTACTCGACGGACAGAGCGCAAAGTGGCGTTTTCTGGCGATTCCGAGGTAGGGCTCGCGTCTTCGTTTTGACCCACATCGCGGTTGCGCCATGATGCTGCTGACTGCACAGCGTTCTCGTCGGCTTCAGGGGTCGAACTTCGCACCTCGTCTAATCGAGATCTGTCACTTGGGCTCGGCGATGCTGAGCCATTTACAACTCGCAGTGATCCGAGCTTGAGGTTGCCCAGATGTGTGTACTCTCTATCGCTCGGAGTAGGTGGTCGGACCTGGGTAGGCGATTGCGTACAGACGACCTCCTGATCTCTAAGTCGAGAATCCACATGACTGAAAGAATGCCCGTATCCCTGGTCGATCGAAGGTGGAAGCCTTCCGATGGCCCCATTCACAGATCGTCTTGTGGCAACTCCGGGTTTCGTGAGAAGGGATCTTCGGCGCATCAAGGAAAACCCTTGATTGTCCACCATGAAGTGCGTGTTGGAAGAGGCTGCCTCTTCAAAGGCTCGATCATGCACGCAGCCTTTGGCTTTGCCCGGAAGTGTGTGCATTGAATAGGACCTGGTTGGGTGCACAGATTGGACGTATGACAAATGGTGGCTACTATGCAGTGTTGCTGGTCGCAGAAGGGCCTGTCTAGAAGGCCGAGCAGAGATTCGCCTGCTCAAAAAGACCGGCGGACCTAAGTCCGTGCATGGGGACTGAGGAGACGACTCGTCTGTTTCCTCAAAGACGACACAGCTTTCGTTGACCTCGTTCTTAAGACCCCACGGCGCTTCAGACTGGGGAGGACGAGAGGGAAACGACTGCGACCTCTGCGCGCGATGATAATGAACCGATGGACTAACAGGGATCGTGGTGCCAGTCCATGGGCTCTGCCAGGGAAGGGCGTCGGTAGTGACCGCTGAAGCTTGACCAGGCGAAATCGGGCTTGTGGGGCTTATGGCTGCATTTTTTGTAGGAGGTTTAGAGAGACGGTTGGAGCGGCGACGCTCATCTTTGCTCTGAACAGAGTGGGAGCTTCCCATGACTTGGTGAATGAAATGGAGAGCAGTTCTGGCTGGGAATGATTCCCAGGCTCAAAGGTGTCGTATGAAGGACATGAATTGTTCGAGCAAAGGCTTCAAATGTCAAGACCGATGTTCCAGGGAGCGCGCCCCGTAGGTACCTATAGTCCTATACCTGTTTTCGGAGATTACCAAACCGATTATGTTGTAATTGTGACAGCAAATCAATACAACAGGAGTTTGGCGCCGATCAGCCCTGATCTTCAGGAGTCCAGGACCTGGAATAGATAGGAAACGGCCAACCAAGCTGGATATTCTGGACCAGGTTTGAGAGTCTCCTGTCGTAGAGATGTGGCCAGTGAAAGTGCGAAACTATGAGGAGGACAAAAGGTCCTCGATCCCTCTTCTTGCAAGCGCGCGATGTCGGGGGGACTACCTTGAAACTGGCGTCCACCCGTCGAGACAATGCTAGGCCCACTGCGATCGAAAGATCGCCGTATTAGTTCGGCTGTCAAAGAAACAACAATGATGAAAGGAAGTGACCAATCAAGGGCAGAAGCCGAGTATGTCTGGAGCTTGAGATATAAAAGCAGGTTCATGCGGCAAAGCATAGGCAGGATCGAGATAGATACAACGGGATTGGAATTAAGGTAGTCGAATGGAAGATGGAAGGTCAAACAACGAAGGTCAGAGAAGGGTATCACTCATAAAAACGATAATACGACGAAGGACAATCACGAATTAAGCCCGAACTTTCTCCTGAAGAAATAAAAAGGAATAAACAAGAAGGGGCCAGTGGGGGGAATATTAAGATCCATCGTTGAGCGAGAGAGAGAAATGAGAAGCGCTGCCATGAGCCAGAAAGCTGCAAAGAATACACAAGCATGACGAATGCGTTTGTACAGCCGCAGGAATAATAGGCAGTGTAGTATCCAACTAGACAGGAAAGGTACCTGGGTCCATACCATAGGTCAGGTTAGCTGTAGCAAGTATCTTGCAGTTGCAGGCCGTCTACAGAGACCGGACCAGATAGATCGACAGTCAACGTTGGCTCTTGGCAGCAAGCAGACCCACCAGACAAGGACATTGACATTGTATGATCATATCATCCATTCATTCTACTAATCCGGTTCATTTCAGAAAAGAAGACGCCAATCTATGGTGCGTAGGAAAGAAGTACATGGTTCACCTAGGTCAGGTAGCTTGAATGGGGTCAAGAAGACAACATCATCATAGCCGAACACGGACGAAGAAAGTACCTTCTTACAATCATTCCCCCTTGTTAGAGAGGTACTTAGTAATTTAATGTAACCATCCACCAGCTGACAGCTACCTGATGATTATCTAGGGTATTAATTTTGCTGAATCAAGCTCGAAACCAGCGGGAAACATGGCAAGGTACTGGTTAATGACTGGTTGGTTATTAGAAGTGGGTAAGGACTAAAAGGTACTCTCCTCCTATCTCACGTTTTCGGACCATCAAACCATGAATCCGTGCAACAACAATGTTACTTGGATAGGCTAGCTCAAGAACAACCTTGGAAGTTGGAAGTTGGAACAGTGGGAGTAACTGGACTTGGAAAATTGCGCAGGTAGTCCTTTAGCTGAAAGATAATAGGTAAGTACAGTTAAGGTAGAGACGGACACTGGGGAGCGTGGTCTAGACAATTAGTTATCAGTTAGTTCATTCAGGCTTTGACTGCAGGATTAGACTAGATGCTAGATTGTTAGGTGGTGTGGCGGTGGTAGACAAGATCAAAGGTTGTCGCAAACAGCATCTGCAAAGTGAAACAGCCACTGACTCAACTCCGACTCTCAGAGACGTAGATGATAGATCGGGCTCTGATCGCGAACTTTACTGTCATTGGATAAGTGCTACATAGAATCGTGCTTACAGAATCTCAGACAAAAGGGGGCTCCGAGGTACCTTCCATTGTATGTACCTTCACTACGGGACCCGGTGTGCTGGATGTCTTGGAATCCCAAAGGGTGATCTTAGACAAGATTAGATTTTGTGGATAGTTTTAAGATCTCGATTTCACAATACCATTGTTGTATTCTTAATCCGATTAATCGTTGAGTCCCAAGCACTGCGAGGTTCGAAACTACTTTCCTCTTAGGCCAACTGCTCGCTGCGCAGCATCTATTCTATGCTATCCCCTTCTTCTCTTCCACGATAAACGCTTTTTACGGTGACGACATATCTTGGTTTAACCCGAACCGCTATATGAATCATCACCAGCTGCTAATTACCTAGATACTGGATAGACAGCAGAAGGAGCCTCAGTACGGAGTGCAGACACTCTCCGCCTACCGTTCGGAAGTTTTCCGTATCCGGAGGTTGTTTTGAACTCTTGGGACGGGGACGGTCAAATGCATACCTACCGCACAGCTGCCTAAGGACTTCTGCAAACAGCAACCTACCCTTGATCAATGCCAGCCCAGTTCTGAACGCGTCGTGGGAGATCTGGGTTGACAGTGGCAACCGAGTCGGTGTACAGTGCGTCTGCACTCTGCACTGCAACGCAAGAGCTTCTGCGATCGCTTTTTGTCGGCTATCGAGCACTCTGCCTACCTTCGCTACCTACTTATCCAGCTTTACCTACACCGCGTCTCTGCTGACCGCGCAGTCGAATGACGTTTCCGTCCAGCCAGGGCCCCCTTTCGGCCTTTCCCTCGCTAACTCCAGATGAATTCGCCTGCGCCTGTCGCGCTTTCGTGGGTCGACTTCATGATTTGGCCAGCGATCCATTTCATGTAGGTTGGTCCTCCGTTAGGCTTGTGCAAAAGGTAAGGACTCACTCTCGAGAGCTCTCTTCTTCGAGCGGTCAATACACTGGACCGTGAGGCAAGACTTTCTGATGTTATTTTTCACCCTTTGCTTTGTCGACCTTCTAGACTACTGGCGCTATTCTCAAAATTTCGCGAAGCATTGAACACCCCATCAGCCAACGCATTGACGACATCCCTCCAGAACTGGGCGAGTCTCAAGAACCAAATTTGTGCGAAGATGATCCTGTTCGTGGACAAAGTGCTCCTATGTACATCTGCACTATGATCTGACAGCCAACACCAGGAAGCTCTGATTCGAACAACCCAGACGAGTGCCGGATTACATGTAGATTATGACATCCTTCTCTCCCCCGTATACCGCGTTCCCGTCCTATATTTCCTGTTACGGCGTGATGGTCATCCACAGTCGCTAGAGATAGACGCTGTCTATCACCTTCTGGTACCGGACCAGTACAGAAAGGAACTGCAAAGTGTGGGTGTCATGGGTGGCATTAGTGTTGGCGTAGGTGCATGTGCTTTTATTGTTTTCTTTCGCATATCAGATCGTTGCGGAGCTCACACTGCGTAGTATCATCCTGAATCTGGTGTTCCGGCATTCTTCGTTCACCCTTGCAACACCGCCGATGCGATGATGCGTATTGCAGGGTGGCGAAAGATCACTGCCGAAACCTATCTCCTCATCTGGCTTGGGCTGGTAGGCAATTGCGTTGGCCTTCGACTGCCGCGTGAAATTTTTGCAACAGATACGCAAGAACCTTTCCCGGAGTTAAATCAGGCGGATTTCGAAGCAAACGATGCTTCGAGAAGTTCTTTAGCGCTCCCTCATACCACTAATCCCTCTCTCTGAACCGGGGATAGCCGCAAGTGACCATGCGCTCTTAATCTTCATCTGACGAGGCTTCCATTGGTACATCACTGTCCTCGTCCATCGGTGCCTCTTCTTCATCACTTTCTTCCTCACGAGGCCGCTTAGTTCCATGAGCTGCCTGGGCCTCGCCGTTAACCTGCCCCGCGGGTTTCGGGGGCAGTGCTGTGGATCCAGGGGGACCGCTGAAGATCGATTTCTGGAGATCTGTGGAAGCACCTGTAGCTTGGGCAGCAGTAGCTGTGGGGACGTTGTAGGTCCCTCGTAGCCTGGCGATCACATCCGACGTGCCCTTGGCATAGACAATTTTCTGAAAATGCAACATGTTAAGACCAATGGCAAATCCGTTAAATCAAAAGGCACCTACCATTTCTTTCCCGAAGAATTCAAAGCCTTGTAACGCGCGCATAGCTTGTGTGCTAGCCTGGACATCCTTGAACACAATATGCGCTTGACCGCGCATTTTCTCAGTTTTCATGGCCACGACGTCCAAGACAGTACCGTAGGTGGAGAAAAGGGTATAGAGCGACAACCGTAAGTCATACTTCCGGAGTTTGTCTGGGAGATTGGTACAATATAGCCTGATTTTCTGTCAGACATTTCCAATTAGCAGTAGGACCAAGGCAGGTAGACTGACGTTTGGTTCGGTACGCCAGCAGGTACAGATTTGTTCTGATTGCCGCCGCGTCCGGAGGCCACTCTTGCAGACATGACTCAAAGAGACAGGGATGTGACCGAGATACTGAGACTTAAATGCGGAGAGTCGCGCGAAAAATTCGAGTGAGCTTCTGTAGTTACTGGCGAACGCGTTCCAATGCATGAACACCATTCGCCCATCTTTTGCTGTGTGGACGTCCTTAGCTCCCTGGTCATGTGATACATTACCTAATCGCTCCGCCCGCTTCATTCGTCATCTTCCCCTGGTCCCGCATGGCCATTCGAGGAGGTTGCTCTCTCTACTTAAGACTATCCTGTCCTGCCCACCACACTCCAAATAAACTTCGTTTTCGCCTGACAGTAGAGAGCTCCTCCTGTCGTCCATACTACCATGTCTGCACCCGAGGTCCATCATTTGTTTCACAGTCCAATTGCGGATCATTCCTTCTCAAGCGATAAGAGCACCTTGGCTGTTGCACGGGAGAATAATGTGGAGCTTTATCAGCGAGCAGGCAGCAAGTTCTCCTTGACCGATGAACTCAAGGGACATGAAAAGACGGTGACAAGTGTTGATATTGCTCCCAATAGTGGCCGTATCGTCACTTGTTCCCAAGGTACACCATCCTTCACAGATCCGCAGCCATCCTGACCCCAGCACCAGCTAACCGAACCCTCGTGTACAGATCGTAATGCTTATGTTTGGGAACAAACTCCGACGGGGTGGAAGCCGACTCTAGTTCTCCTCCGGATCAACAGAGCTGCAACTTTTGTGCGTTGGTCTCCATCAGAGCAGAAATTTGCCGTTGGATCGGGAGCCCGCGTCATTGCCGTCTGCTACTTCGAAGAGGAGAACGACTGGTGGATTTCAAAGCACCTGAAGAAGCCCATTCGGAGCACCATCACTACTCTCGCGTGGCACCCAAACTCCGTTCTGCTTGCCGCGGGTTCGACAGACTCTCATGCACGGGTTTTCTCCAGTTTCATCAAAGGTATTGACACTCGTCCAGAGCCGAGCGCTTGGGGAGAACGTCTTCCGTTCAACACAGTCTGCGGGGAGTTTCTTAACGACTCGGCTGGATGGATCCATGCCGTGTGCTTCTCCCCGAGTGGAAACGCTCTAGCTTTCACTGGACATGACAGCAGTGTCACTGTTGTTTACCCCAGTGCCCCCGAACAACCTCCTAGGGCCATGTTGAACATTACCACGCGTCTCTTGCCGTTCACTAGCCTGATATGGAATGGGGAGAATGAAATCATTGCCGCCGGTCATGTGAGTTCCTAATGATCATTGTAGTAGTGCGGAGTCCAACGTGCTGACCCGTCGCTAGGATTGCGAGCCATTCCGCTTCAGCGGTGACGAGAGCGGGTGGAAGCTGGCAGGCGCTATCGAGAGCAAGACGGGAGCCGGAGCTGGCAGTGTGCGGGACGAATCGGCCCTCAATATGTTCCGCCAGATGGATCTCAAGGGACAGACTCAGGCGGACACACAACTTAAGACGATCCATCAGAACACCATCAACACAATTAGGGTGTATGAAGAGACGGGTGGCGCGGTCCACAAATTTAGCAGTAAGTCATACATGCTCCACTATGAGGCACTCCCGCCTTATCGGAGAAGAGTGTCACTAACGGTTGCGTACTAGCGAGCGGAGTTGACGGTCGTGTCGTAGTCTGGAGCATCTAGATGTCCCCCAGCTTACCATACTTGTTCAACAACGTAGTCGACGTTGTTCTGAAATGACTATTCTATATCCTAGAGTCCGGCACTCAAATTATTGAACATGGTTGACGTAGACTTAGTTGAAGAAGTTTGACATTAATGAACAATCACCAATTCATCCAGCAATCACATTAGACAACCAATGTGAATAGGCTTATCAACCTGCAAGAAACATATTTGAATATTCAAGGAGCGTTATGCAGCTAGAGGAAATTGCACCCACAAATCTAACATATTCCTCTCCGCATTATTATCGTTGTTTGTTGTAATAGCCCAAAGAGGCAGACGGGACCAGTCACCAGTTGACTGGTACGTCATTTGGATTGCTCCGCTAGCGCAATTTGGGCAGTGGAGACATGTGGATAACTGGATATGGATCTGAGTCACCTGACTACCCCAGATTCTCGAAAAACGTCACAAATCACGATGGCACATCACGAGCTCCGTTGTCACTAACTTCCTGGAAGGCCAGGGGCCGAGCAAGTGCCTGTCCCGCTGTTGATAGAGCACACAGTCAACAATGCTCTCTAGCCCAGGAGACTGAGACTCATGGTATGGGGCGTTTCTCCAATCATGCTTCACAAGTATTGCCTGGTCTGTCTCACTATTTTCGCCTGCTTTTCCAGTCCCTTCGTTGTGAGCGTGGATGGCGCAATGTTTGGCAGGAATGATGAAGGTCAACAGCAGATATCTGAGGAACTCTTCGGCTCACTTGAAGAGCTCGCACGTATCGTCGATATCTCGTATTGCGTTGGGACCACTGAAATTCGAAAGCCATTCAAGTGTCTCAGTCATTGTAGCGAATTCCAGGGCTTCGAACTGGTCACCGTATGTTGAACGTCTCTCACTTACATGTTACCTTCCTGTCTAAGCTTGATCGCTTACATCGTCTCTAGACATGGAACACAGGCCCTTTCCTCTCCGATTCCTGTGGCTACATAGCCCTCTCTCATGAACCATCGCCGAAGCGCATCATCGTTGCCTTTCGCGGTACTTACTCGATCGCCAACACGATCATCGATCTATCCGCCTATCCTCAACCCTATGTACCGTATCACCCCGAAAATGGAAGGGACTCCGGCCATTTACAATGTCGGAACTGCACCGTCCATGCAGGTTTCCTGGCCTCTTGGAGAAACACTCGCGCCATAGTACTCGAGCAGGTAGCCGCGGCAAGGGCCCGATATCCGGATTACAGCTTGGTTCTGGTCGGTCATTCGCTCGGTGGCGCGGTCGCCGCCCTCGCCGGTGTCGAAATGCAACTGCGCGGGTGGAATCCACAAGTGACCACTTTCGGAGAGCCAAGGATCGGAAATAAGGCCTTTGTGGGATTTCTGGATCGAAGCTTCGACCTGGATGGCTTGGGAGCTGATGCCCAGGACCCAAGATTTCGAAGAGTCACACATGTCAACGATCCGGTGCCCCTACTCCCATTGCAAGAATGGGGTTATGAGATGCATGCGGGGGAGATATTTATTGCTAAGGAGGAGCTCTCACCTTTACCCCTTGACATCAGACTATGCCAGGGCGACAACGATGCTCGATGTATTGCAGGAATGGATGAAGCTGTAGGACTAATGCTGAAGGAGTTGGATGATATCATTTTGACCAAGCAATACCCATCGAAACGAGTCCAATCACCCCATCAGGCCGTTTTGGTAGATGGGGATCCCCATAGTAGTGCAAATGCCGATGTTGCTGATCGTGAGCAATTACAGACGCCATTCAGCCTGCCTTGGCATCTCATTCCCTCCAAATACCGACTATGGGAGCTGTTCTTCGCACATCGCGACTATTTCTGGCGGCTCGGGCTTTGTGTACCAGGCGGTGATCCAACTGGCAAGATATCTGACATTCAGAACTAAGGTGTTCGAGATCACACAGATCCTTTTTTTTTTTTTTTTTTTTTTTTTGGTGTGATTGTAGTGATTTGGATATGCTATCTAGCGAGATAATCAATTATGCCTTCCACTTTCGAACAAGAATCCCTCTCAAGCTAGCAAGGCCAAATCTTGCGTTATAGCTTTGTAGACGTGTAGAGATGCCGATTTGGGATGAATCTAGCTTCTACTGGCTCGCGCAATGGACCAGGCATGCTCAATGCTGGTTGTCTGCGCAAAGTCGCTCATCTGAGGGACGAGAGGGATCCAGAAAAAGAACCATGACTGATTCAAAACTTGACTTGAGGCAATCTAATCTCGTCGCTATGAACACATAATATATATTAAGAAAAGACAAAACGACGGTGAGATTGGGAGAAAGGAAAGTCATGCATCATCACATAACACAGACCGGGGAAGAGAAAACCCAAAGAACGCTTGGACAGGGCACCGTGCGACGAACCGACGTCACTTCCCATGCTCCAGGCTTGGGACAATGACGGGTCCATACTTGACCACATGCCCATAGGTACCGTCGCCCTGAACCATGAAGTCGACGGCGAGATTAAGCTTGCCGCTGCCATGGGGCATGTTCTGGCCGTACATGGTGTTCACGACCTCGGGGTCGTAGGCGACGATGGCCACGTAGTTACGCCGACCCATAAGTTTACGATATTCGCGCGTTTGGCCCGTGACGTCCGTCTGGAAGATCTCCATCATGTCTTCCTTGGTATCTGAGGGTTGCGACGGGGAGGAGCGGTGCCCGTTCGCGGGAATGTATAGGGGCTTGTGGCTGCTGTGGAGGAGTTTGATGATGTACGAAGGGGGAGGGCTGTTGACAACAGCTGAGGAGATAATCTGGTACATGGTCTTGTGGTCTTTTGGGTGAGCTGGGTCGTGCACTAATCCCGCACCACAGACGTTCACGGCTCCGGAAAGGAAGGTCATTCGCAGGGACTTCTGATGGGCGATGCCTTGAAGTGTGCGAATGAGATATGTCCGTTCGAGATCCTGTATTGTCGCATTAACCTCTCAGTTATTGAGCATGACAGTCGAACTCAATTCACAGACCTTGGATTCATGCGTCCATTGATCGCGCAATTCATCGAGCAGATCAAGCTCCCCAAAGGGACTTAATATCCCACCCATGAGACCTGACTTACCCACGGCTCGCTTGACCGAGTCGAAACCAGAGCCGACCATATCTTTGGCACCAACCACGCTGGCCACAGAGCTTGTGACTTTGCCTAGCACGTTGTACGCCCCGGTGACAGCTCTTTTCCCCGTGGCAACAGTATGTGCGATGTGCTCGGCAGTCTCTAACCGGGGGTAGATGATGGGGACCGACAGCATCCATATACAGTGCTGCACCGAAGGAGGCAACATTGCGACCTTGGGGAAAATGCCCTGATAGGTCGGTCCAGCTATCACTTGGTGCGGGTTTCGCTCCGACCTACAATCGGGGCCAACAACGACAACTGCGGGTCCTAAATACTTGACGAAGTGCCAACCTGTCCCCGTGATGGTGAAAATATCTATGTCGGTGCTAACATTTCGCAAGATGTCCAGCGTCGTATGGTGTTGGAAGAGCAGATACATCTCAATACCAATTCGCCCGATGTTCTTGAACATGTTTGAGAATTGCATATGCTCAGGGTACGAACCGAACCCATCAAAGCTGATAACGTCAGTTGCTCCTCMTTCACAAGAGGGCAAGGTGAGGGCAAAACTTACATATCATGGTCGTCAATCTGGCAGACGTACGGAATCTGAGCAAACGATTCCCTCAGATAAGGCTGGTCAAAATGACTGGTGTAGTAATGGAAATACGCATGAGAAACATCCTCCTCATGCGCTGCCGTCCACTGCGCATTTTTGCGAGCCTCTTTTCCACTGATCGCAAGCCACTGCTTCAGGGATGGAACTTCCTTCCACATTCGATCTGCGTAAATCTGGCCACCACAGCACAGCTGCGCATGGAAGCCTCCGATCTCATTATGTTTCAGCATGATGTCTTTCCACATGAAACCGACTCCTCCCAGACGGGACCTCTCATTTGCATTCACGTTGAGCGAGAAGTCGTTGCCAGAAGTGGCGACGAAGCGCCAGTTCGTCTCGTACCGACCAGCTACCAGGAACTCGTACCGAGTGCAGCCAAGATGCGACGTAATAGCATACGTCCACTTAGCGGGACCAGACTCCTCCATCCGCAAGTCAACCTCGTACTTGTAAAACGTCCAGCGCTGGTGCATGGCAATGCTCATTGGCTTGAGCTGCCGGGGATTGGGCGACAGATCGACGCTTTGATGGATGTGAATGGTCGGCGGCTGTGCAGCGTCGGTGACCAGCAGAATAGAGCCCAACCAGATACCGCGCTCGAGATCCATGTTCGTGTACCGGAGATAGGGGCCGAAGTAAACACCGTTGGTTGGAGCAACTTTGTACAGGTCAATTCCACTGCTTGGAGGTGGCCCGCTGAAGCCAGCAACAACGGGTGATTGCAGGCTCTCATAGCCGGGCGCTAGACCAGGCGTAAGAGGTATGCCGGGAGACGCCAATGGCTTTCCAAAAGCTGAAAGGCCGGGGGAGGCAAGAGGATGACTACTGTACACGCTGCCGACCGGTGACAACGGAGTTTCGTTCAGATTTAAAGGAGTCGGTCCCTTGGGGAATTCCCACTGGGTCGACTGAGTTGGGAGGTGAATATAATAGTACTGTCCTGAATTAGGGTCCAGATGGGCTATCCATCCTTCTGGGAGCGGCGGCGGAGAGGCTGGAGGAACCGTCGATGAGCTGGGCAAGGAAGCGGCTTGTGCATTCTGCACAGGGCTAGGCTGGCGCCCGGCCGAAGTACCACTCTGTGATGATAAACCTGCCGGGGACTGCTGCCGGGGTTCATTGGCAAACGCGGGATGATCCTGAGGCGAGACTGTTGGAGCAGCAGGCGCCGCAACAGCAGCAGCAGTGGTAGGAGCCATGGTTGCTGGATGGCTTGCTGCAAGAACTGGCTGGCCCATCGAAGCCGACAAACGCTGCTTTTCATTTGGGTAGCCTTGGGGAGCGGCAGGTCCAGATACGCTCGAGTACGCAGGGGGAGGCGAGGAACTAATACGCATCCTTTCAAGGTCTTGCTCCAGTGCGTTGGGGGGAATCCTCGGCGGCTGTTGGTCTTGGGCAGCGGCATGAGGTGGTGTTGCGATAGGTTGAGGCGTAGGAGGATGATAAGAACTGGCCGGTGGATTCGGTGATCGTGATCCCACGACCTCGGCGCCTTGGTAAACTGTGGGTGGACCGTGTGGTTGAGACCCCGGCTGCTCTGTTGGAGTCCACGGCCGCTGAGTGGGAAGCTGGTGCTGCTGGGTTCTAGGTAATTGACCGGCGTACGGTTCTGCTCTTCGCTGAGCGGCAGCACTTTGCGCATGCAATCCTGCCAGTGTCGACGTGCCCGCAATGCCGGAAGCTGCATACCGGGCCTCAATATCAGATCCAGGTTGCTGGCCAGGGCCAACGATGGGAGTTTCCGGGGGTGGAGGCGATCCCCTCTGGGCACGGGTTGTCGAATTGGATGCCGTTGAGCTGATTCGATTGATCGTGCTGCTAGGAGGTTGTAGACTCTGCGACGCCCCTAGCCTCGTAGAGACAGCGGATGGAGTCGAGGGTTGAGGCGGCGGCCAATACTGCTGCTGGTAATCCGGATAAGAATCACTTTCTTCCCGCTGGATACCGTCTGACGATGGGGCCGAAGACGCCGGCACGCGCTGATATTTCCGGGCAAACAAGGCTTCTCTATCTGGCGCATCTGGACCCGGCGATTCTGGTAATGGTTTGGGAGCGGTATTACCCCGTCTTTCGGCCAACGTAGCGGGCTTGGGCTCGCGGCCATCACGCGGCCGAAGAACTGCCGGGTACTGCGACGGTCTCGTTGCGCTGGATCCTGCCGGCATCGAGGACAAGTTGTTTACGGATGAAATAGGGGACCCATGTCGGCCAGATTCACCAGTCGTCGGACTCGACCCGGCGGAACTGGATGAGCTGCGCATCTGGGCCAGCCTAGGCCGGTCATCAGGATATGGAAGCGGCGCGGAACCCTGGGATGCTGGTGAAGGCGTATCTCTTTTGCTGATACGTAACGGCTCAACCACAGGAGATTCTGCCGGTGGTCGACTCGAGGAATTGAGAAACAGTTCTCCCTCAGGGTTACCCTGATGGGTGCTGCTGGGGTTCATGGCAGCGATATATCACCAATGCTCAGTTTCGTGCTAGTGACTGGAATATGACAAGTCAGAAAGGAAGACATCGACGACCGAGCGCAGGAAAGGAGAAAAAAGAATGCGAAGCTAGAATATACCTTTTTCTTACCGATTGCGACCGTGGATAGGTGTAAATATGGGCTGAAATCACGCTGCCTGGTGGCGCAGGCGCGAGAGAGAGAGAGACCGATGAGGGGTAACAACAGCAGACAGGGGGATGCGGGGGAAACAGAGAAGAGGTATTATTCAGGCAGCTCGCTTCTACTCGAGGAAGAGAAATGAAGGGAGACACTCCGGACGTCTTGCAGAATTATCATCAACGACGAGACCGCATTGCTTTTAGGCTCGTCTAATGCTTTCCGGTCCTCTCGTACGGTCGTATGTACCTATGCTCGGTGCTAGTCGTGGAGTAGCCGCCGGACAAGACATTTAGAGTGCCAGAACCCGCTTGGGCTCGCTGTTATTGGCCTGCACGACGACATCGTCCAACTCGGCAGCGCCCAATGACTGTGCCGAGATGCCTTGAATATCTGCGATTTGAGTCTGGATGATTACGGGACAAAGGGTATGGCACTAAACTCTTCTGCGAGCGCCAATGTTGGGTAGCGCGAGCAACAACGGATCACCGCTGAAAAGCCTTGAATAGGATCGACAAGCAAATAGCAGAAACTATACCATTCGTGGTTGGATTTTGTATAAACCTGTATCATTTGGGCGCTTAGGTGCTGATGGGAGTATTCAGGGTTATCAGAGTACGGTTCACAGATAACTTCAGTTGTAGTAGTTGGAAGCTTGGAAGAAAAGAAAGATCAACTCTGGACCGGCCCGCTGCGAGCCTATCCACGGATTCTGCAGAGCTCTCTCTACCCTCCCTCACATCGGCTAGATTGCAGGTCATGACCAGCCTATATCATACAAAAACACACACGGCACAGCTCTTTCGCCGACTATATATGCAGTAAATCCTACCTCCGTGTGCCTTTGCAACCCTATGCATACAAATCATGTTCCCATGCTCAAGCGCGTAACTGTCACACCGACAAACCATAAAGAAAAGGGGTATCATCCAGATAAATTCATCATCACTGTCGTGTCACCCGTAAGTCACCAGAGACAGACCGTGTTCCGCAAGAATCTCGACCCAGTCAGCGCTCCCCGGATGGCCGACGCCCTGGGATTGCTGCATCTGTCGCTCATACACCACCTGAAATAGGTATCGGATACTTGTTGCATTGCGGCCGATCTCTTGCGCCTCTAACCTGGAAAGCATGTCCAGGGCTATCACTTTGAGATCGCTGGAAGGGGTGACGGATCCCGCCAGGAAAATGGGAAAGGTCACAGAGCGCCAGCCATTCTCTTTGCTTTGCGCCATAACAGATTCTGCGACGCTGAAGACAGCTGCAGCATGGTGGCGAAGTTCTTCTTGAGACGCAGCTCCGGGACCGAAACACTGCCCAGGCCAGAGACTGGTGTAGGAGAAGAGGAGTGAGGTATGGTATAACAGAGAGGTCTGTCGACCGAGCGGTCAGTATCATGGGGGCCCAAAAGACCAAAGCGACAAATCAACCCACCTGCCAGAGGATTTCTTGTAAAAATAGTGGTAAGCTCTCTTGTGCCCGCACGAGAAACTGGGCTTCTGGCGAGTTCCACAACAGCCACAACGCTTCGCGCCAGTCGCAAACTTCCCTTTGAGGTTGGTCGTGATGGGAACAAGGAAAGGGCAGGTTGATTCTGCGTGACTCCGCTGCAAGGAATCCGAGTCTTGCAGCGAGCTTGAAAGTATCATGGTACAGCCGTAATACAATCAAGGAATCACCGTCTTCAAGAGAGACACTGCGATAGCTTTGGATATGCATAGACTGCTGGAAAGCACCAAGCCCAGGGAGCAGAGCTGGATTCTCCAACGCTTCCTGGACAAAAGACCCAGTCCCCGCTCCGCTTAAAAGAGCGTAAAGATCAACGCTGCAAATCCACCAGATTATGTGCGGGTATGGCTCGGTCCCGAACGTTGAGCGCCGAAGAGCCGATATGTGGAGTAATCGGGAGATGTGGTGAGACCATAAATTCGAGCCATCAAGCTCAGCTGCCGCAAGCTACGTACTTGAGGTGTAAGTGGACATCACATAGCACGTTCAGCCAGTGCGGGCTTGATGGAAAAGACGGGGAAAACGTAACACCAACCTCGTACGCCAAAAGCAAGAAATGCGTCAGGAAAAGGCCATCCAATAATAGGTCTTTGTCGCTCCATATGTTATTTTGGAGTGATAGAAATGCCTGGTGATAGTAATGCAGAGCGTCTATACTGTGGCTACCACTTTTTCGGTCGAGACTGAGGGCGGAAATTGCCATCATCGCATGGAAGAGCTATGGGTCGTGCCGTTAGGACTCAAAAAAGAAAAGGAAAGTAATTTGATCATGTAGGCGAGGGAATGGCAAATCTTACAGGAGGGAAGTTTGTGGATTCACGGTCGAAGACATCGGCGTCTAGTGAGCTTCCACCCGCAAAGTTGAAGATCCCTCCGGTTGGAACGAGCTGCATCCACACCACATCGCGAAAATGACCGAGAAGAATCGCCTCTAGACTCTCCTGTTCCAACATGTCCAGAATTGGGTCGTCATCTGCGGCATTCTGAGATGTCGCATCAGTTGTGGCGGCGGAAAGAGAAGACTCGCGCAAGTCGGATGTCGGTGAATGGCTTGCACTCCGATACTGAGAAGACGATGACCGTTTGGAGTCTTTGAATTGTTTCAGGATGACCACGTTGGAATCTTCAAGCTCCGGATTGTTCGTGAAGTGGGCGGTCTCGGTGTTCCCGCACAAAGGACTTGGGATTGTATCTCTAAGCTCTTCCTCAGAAGCATCCTCAATGTACTCCGGAAGATGCGTAAAACTTTCCGGAATGACGATGATGTGATATGTTCCAGGTCTCGATGTTTCTGCTTTCCTCTCCCGTTCTTCGTCCGTAGCGAGCTGTGGAAAAGGGGGTAGGAGATCATCCGTTGCGGGATCGCTCGAGACGTTCCTGCTTTGCGAACATGCATTTGCTGCGATTTGACGTTGGCGAGTTAGTATCATATCTCGACGAGGAATAGAAAGCAAAGGTGTCTCACGATCCCAAACTGTATTGCCCGCGATTGTGATATCAGACATCCGCTCTATGGTTCGGCGTGTGTCGTCGCGAAAGGATAGACGAGGTCGATAATCGCAGGTGTGACCCAACCTCGAACATTGCTAATGATATAGGAGTCAGACTGCATTTCTGGAGAGGTTAATTCAAGAGGCAAGATGTATTACATTGCACTGCGGATGACCTTCGTCGCACTTGACTGTAGACCAGTTACTAAAGTCCAATCCAATAAAAAAGGTCAACCCGTCCCGGATATACCAAACCAAAGGCGCATGCGAGTAGGCTTAGACTAACCTTTGCGACTCTAATCCAATTGAAGACATAGAAGTCAGTAAATTTCATGTACCCCGCAGGCAAGTTCAGGATGAAAAAGCTGGCTCACTCTACATGTCCTAGAGGGAAGCAAGTATGACATCAGCGCACGACTCGCCAAAAGCGCCGAATCTTGATCGGAAAGACCTACCAGCACCCTGTACGAGATCGCGGAGGGAATCGCGAACGTGGTCTGGGAAGTGGTGTCTGCTCGGTTATGGAGGTATCGAAGCTGGGGTGGGAGGTTGTGTGATCGTCCTTTGGGGCAATGATGGGTAACACGAGAGCGCGCTTGCGGGAAGAAGCGCTCTTCTTTGGCGGCATCCCGAACTTGAAGGCTGTCATTGAGATGAGTTCTTCGTGTCCTGGACTCATCTCATCAGGAAAGTGCTCTTAAACGGGGAAGGTAAGGGATAGGCCATCTCACAGGCAACAATTGAAGGTGAATGTGCTTCAGGCGCCAGTATGATGAGACGACGACGAGGTAGATGAGGCGACAGTAGTGATTGACAGTCACTCTGATGGTAGCAAGAGGTGGTCGAGGAATGAATGAGGTCAATGGAAGTCGGAACAAGAGCATGTAAGACTCAAGAACGATGATTGATGTAAAGTAAATAAAGGCATGGTCAGTAATAGTATATACATTTTTCCCCGTCTTTAAAGCAGTAGGGGAAAGGAAAAGTCGATACAATGCGTCTGTCTCTACCAAAGAAGAGTCAGCTCGGACGTCGCATGAATAGTTGTCATCATTGAGGCCACTAGGGATCTCAGACGAACACCCAGCAAAGCCGGCATGATATCTAGGAATCTAGGTACTTCGTTAGTCTAGATGCAGGCCAGAACCGGAGGTCCGTTCAGGTTGTGCCTGTGGTGGCGGATCTGAGAAAATGTATCTGCATGGACGGCGTAAACACTACAGCACTGAAAGACGAGAGGCTTTTTTTCCCTTTTTTCATTTTTGATTTTTCATTTTCATTTTTCATCTTTCGTTTTCTTTCTTTCTTCCGTTAATTTATTTATTTATTTTTCTTTTGGACACATGACCAGCGACGATATTGCGCATTTAATATCCTATGATCGAGAAATCAGCAGGCAAATCCGATCGATCGATGGGGGCAAGCGCCAAAAGGGAAAAATAGAGATGGATGATTCGGATTGGAACCGCATGTGCCAACCATGTGGTAAATGGAATTTGAAGGTTGGTCTCTTAGTGGTACAGCACTAGGTACTAAGGTAGTGGGCCCTGCAACAATACCTAAATTTAAATTGTTATTCTCAGGTATCAAATTCAGTACAGTACCATTGAACTCTACGAAGCCCAGCAAGGTAAAATCTATTCGTCGTTAACATTGAACTGATAGGTAGTATTATTAGTATTTTTACTTTGTACAGAATAAGGGTAAGACTCGGAGATCCAGGACCTCTATGACCCTGCACCGCTAAGATCGGGCCCGGGCCATAAAGTGCATTATTGAGTGCCAACACAGTAGTGCGGTTTTAGTCCACACTCCACACTCTATGGAGTAGTAGATACTAGAATGGAAGTTTAAGGATATCTAGACAGATAGTAGATACAGCTACAACAATACAATAATGATATATCTTGCTCCTGAATCAAGCACGTAGGTCTGATTTCCGAACAACTATTCCTTTGGTAAATACGGAGTACTACCGAGGTAAGACTCCATAGTATGAAACCAATCTTCACGTAATATGCAGCATGACTATGTACCGAGTCAGACGCACCCCGAATTACTTCCCTTGACTGGTTCCTAAGCGATAAAAAATAGTTTTGATACTATGTAGGGAGTGCTCCGGTGCAATTACCTAGGGCATAGACTAAGGGTACCTGAAATGCTTGGAATCTTACGCTCCCCACTGGTTCCCTAGTTCGCTTTACCCAGGATTCCAAATGATCCTGATTCCAGCTAACATCAAATATGCTTCGATTCTCGGATCCGGTCTCAATTGCGCAGTCACTGGTAGACTGATGCCGCAGTTTGTCCGCTGGTGGCGATATCTTAGAATCCACTTCTGTGGCTTGTACGGTCACGCAGTCAGTTGAGCTGGGGAAAAATCATGTTCCAGGCTTGCAGGCGGCCTTGCGTCACGGATTTCTCGCCGGACTGCACGCACGCAAGGCACGGTCATGGGGTATACTAATAGCACTCGTTGAAAAAAGAACTCCAAGCTTCCAAGGTGATCGGTGAGTCCGAGTTCAAGCTCCGGTTAACAAACAGCCAGGAATAAGTTGTAGGTAGTTTTAGATACGCAAGTCCTTAGACCAGAAATCGGAGGCTCAATTCATAGCCTTTTACCCCTCCATGGTTGACTCCAGCTGTACCTCCCGTAGGGGCCCAGTCTTGGCAGTTCTGCATGAAACGAAAGGGAATGACAAGCTTCAATTTTGGCAGTAATTCGCTTGTTCGCACCGGATTCGACCATAGTCTCATCTTATCCCATTCCTAGTCCAAGCACGTTGTCATCGTTATCTCACAAGGCTGGCTGAAAAGCAAAAGACGGATGGGGTTTCGGGCGATTGCCTGGTTTCCGGACTGCGCTCCTTGCATCCCCAAAAAAGCGTTCTGCAGTATTGCCAGCTAGCCAGATCGGGAATAGTGCCAGCGCTAGAGTAAACTCATCCATGGATTGTAGCAGATTTTGATTGGCGGACTTGGTTTTGTTCTGCTTCAGCTTGAGTGCATTTTAACTAGGATTATGGTCGGGTATCTGGACGCAGTACCCACTAGTTACCCAGTACCTTAAGTCTCAATGATGTACCTGCCAAGCTGCCTAGCAGCAAGATGTCTCATGAAGAGAGTACTGGTCCTTGGATGTTGCTATGGGTTGTCGCTCAGCACGGCACTCATAGTACCCTAGCATTCGTATTCTTCGATTCCTATCTCCCACTCGATCAGATCATAAAGTGTAAGCATAAATTAATTTTCTTGCTAGCTCGAACTTCCAGTCAATTAAAGCCAACACCAGAGAGCGACCCTGTCTCGCTTAATGCTTAGTACTATGTGCAGGCCTCACAGACCTCCTGACCTGTCGGATCCGAGCAATGAACCCAGAATCAATAGTTCAACGAAGCCTGGATACACCATCAATTCGTATTTTCCATTTATCCGTGGTCCTGTGCAGAGGTCGATTCGACACCACGTATCACTATCAAAGGCCGACCTTCTCCGGTGAGATGGCCATGTCCCATGGTCTAGATCCCAACTGCAAAGCGTCTAAACTGCAAAGCGTTTATTAATCCGTACACTGTAGACATTACATAGGAATGAAGACTAAAATAGTCCCATTCCCTAACGAGACTGGTCTCGGCCGGTCTGGATCATCAACCTTGGTCCCTGTACTATTCGGCCCGTGCCCAACGGATGGGTAAGACAAACCCCCGGATGCCCACCAATCATAGTCTCCAAGAGTCATTCTGAATTCTGGACAAAAATCTAATGAGTTACGCTAGGACATGTCCGCAACTTTGCACCGTTACCCTATTTCCATTTTTCTTGGATAACTACTCCATACCTCATGCAGGATTCAATACGAATAATTCTAAACGTCATCCTGCAATATTAATGGATGATGGGTGATAAGTGACAGATGCGGAGCTGTCTATTTCTTCGGCTCCGCAACGGACAACAATACGAACCCCCAAACAGTTTGCTTAATAAATGATTCATCAGCTCGTCATGGGTCTGTCTTCTAACCCCCAAGCCTCGGAGCAAAATAATGCATGCAATTCTAGGCCACGTAGTCATTGCTTGAGTTTCAACAGTACAATTTGCCCTGACCGGTGCTCTTCTCTAAATGCACAGGTCAAGTGATGCGCCTGACGGCATCCCCTACTATCGAACCTGATTGGTTGTCTGCATCTCCCCAGCCCCGGGCCCAGCCGTAACCCGACGGTATGGATAAGAAGATAGATCGGCTGAATATCACTGCAGGGCAACTGGGCCTTGCGGCGCGGCAGCCTGACAGGTACCCTATCGACTTCTCACCTCTCAAGCTGGGACAAACCACGCTTCTCCGCGTTCTCGATTTGTCTCACCGCAAGACCGCAAGGTCACCCAATACCTGGTTGAGGATTTGTTGTACCGGTCCCGATCTTTCGCTGTCTCTCCAGGTTTTGACCGATTCCTGCAGTGCTTGACTGACTTCTAAGCCCATCTGCTGGGACACAGTAACGTACGCGGCTGCGGCCTGTGCGCGTCCCATCCGGATGGTTTCGATGGATATGTCTATCTCCCGACAAAGCAGTTTTTGCGCGAGCGCCACCAACGACCCCTGCAATTCGCCTGCTTCAGGCTTCTGGCCATTGCCTGCGCTTGCCCATTTCCCGAATCTCTCGAATAGCTTGCCCAATTCGTCGTAAAGGGCAACCTGCACTTTCCTCGTCCCATTCATCACAGCTTTGTCAATCAATGGTGTCATTTCTTCGAGATAAGATTTGATTGCTGTTGTCCGGGTCAGCAACTCCTGACAGGAAATGATGGATTGTGGATACCAACCTCCCGCTGCAGCAGCAGACGGTTCAAGACATTCAAAGAGACACCTTACAGAGGCCGCCAGTGTATCTTCTAAGATTTGTCTGTTTAAGAGTCAGAAATCTATTCGAGAAGCTAGAAGATCCTAAAAAAAAAAACTGAGAAAGGGGAGCAAGACTTGTAGACATACTTGGAATTTTGGCCGCTGCCCGAATCAA